TGTCAATATGGAAGTTAAACGCCGAACGGCTCGCTCCTTGGTGGCTAAGCTCAGCTCAGTCTCTGAACAAACCCGAGCCGACGCTCTAGCCGAGCTCCGACTCATCTCCAAGGTCGACGCTGAAAGCCGTCCTCTGATTGCTGAAGCCGGCGCCATCCCCTACCTTGCGGAGACTCTTTACTCTGCTTCCTACGCGTCTCAGGAGAACGCCGCTGCGACGCTCCTCAACCTGTCTATCTCCACGCGCGACGCGCTTATCTCCACGCACGGCTTGCTCGACGCGCTCTCGCACGCTCTCTCCCACCATAGCTCGCCTCCGAAGACGTCCGCCGACGCCGTGCAGTCCTGCGCTGCTACGCTCCATAGTCTTCTGATCGCCGGAGACGCTTATCGCCCGATCATCGGAGCCAAGCGGGACATCGTGTTCTCTCTCGTCGACATTGTTAAGAATCCAACCTCTCCTACGCGATCGGTCAAAGATGCGCTAAAGGCGATGTTCGGAATCGCGCTTTATCCTCCGAACAGATCGACGATGGTGTCTCTTGGCGCTGTGAGCGCTCTGGTTTCGTTGATGGTGAAGGATTCAAGGACAGGGATCGTGGAGGACGCATCCGCGGTGGTAGGGCAAATCGCGGGGTGTGAGGAGAGTGAGGAGGCGCTGAGAAAGGTGTCCGGGGTTAGAGTTCTGGTGGATCTGTTGGATCCCGGGACTGGATCGAGCATGAGGATAAAAGAAAACGCAGTAGCGGCGCTGCTGAATGTGGCAAGATCTGGCAGCGAGAGGGCGCTGCGCGAGGTAAAGGAGATGGTAGCGGCAGCAGAGGAAGAGGTGACAGAAGAGATCATGGAAGTCGCGGAGAGTGGCAGCTCGAAGGGGAAGATGAAGGCGTTGGAGCTGCTCCAGCTTGTGATCAACGAAGATCGCCATTCGCGGTTAGATTTCTTGCTTAATCAAAACTCGAATGATTAATTGGTTGGCTCTATCATATATTGAATGATGCTGAACTGATAATTGAATGTAGGCTGATATATTAGGGATTAGAATTAGAGAATTATAGGTTTGAAGAAATGATATAGGTTTGAGTTATTATCTGCTAGGATTTGTCATTGATGGGATGTAAAGTATAATAATTCAGTTGGGTTGTACATTAGATTATTGACCAAAGATTTGACGGAGGAACAGAAAATTTTTAGATTTTCAGTAACTTTAGCCTGTCCAGAGATGTGTTGCTGTGTGAATTGTGTTGTTTGGTGCCTTTACTACCTTGCAATTGTCTTTGAGAATGAAACCCTTTAACTAGGGAGTGATACTTTCGTTCTCAGTTAAAAGTCATATATTAATTAGATGATGTATAATATAATTTCTTAACTAAAATATATGAAAAGCATAATTCGACCCATACCTATAAATCTCTTGTAATAAAAATGATGTACAAGATATAGAGACAAAAAATAGTTAATTAAGCAGGGAGTAATAATTAGTGAAGAATTAGTATATTGCTATAATAATTCTTAAATACCATACTTTATCAATGTAGAAATTAGTATGGTACATATAAAACTCTATATGGGTTTAAATATT